GAATAATAAGTATAATCATAATAATACGGCAATAATGGTGAGGAGAAGAATAATTATTATAATGGCAAATATATGTATTCGCATGTGTAATGTAAGGAACGTCCGAAAAAACGGACGGTCTCGCTGATATCAAGAGGACGCCGACGAGATAAGGTTCATTTCTCACACATAGACGCGCAAGTGTTACAGCTGCAAGCTGTGAAATCACTTTTTTCTACGGTAAGTGGCATAAGTACACCATTAATTTTACTCTTTATCAATAAATATTCTAGCGGTAAACGCGATAAGCGCGCGACACAAGTATACGTCTCAAATTGCGAATAAAATTCATCGTTCACTTAAATGCTGTATCGTGACGTTCATATACAAGTGCGGCGATATAATCGTGAGCGATGAAGCGGAATAGAAGACTAACTAGTCGTGCGAACATCCTCCGATCAGCGAGTTTTTGCGCTTACGCGGCGACGTTTAATGCCCGTCGACGCCTTAATTTGCACTAATGTTCGAGATCCTGGCGCCTCGCCAAGACCCCGCGTCCTTTATCAAATGAGGATTCGCGCGTGAATTGGCGATGGCTCTGAATAAATTATGTCTTGGAAAAAAAAAATCCACAACGCTCGTGGGAGTCGCGGGACTTTTTTTTCGAGACGGACGCCGGGACGGTGTCCCCCGTCCTCACGCGTTCTCTCCTCGCGACTCCCGGACTAGACACAAAAAGGTACACATAAATAAGGACAACATACATGTCAAGAATTTCTTTTTTTTTTTGGTTTCTTTGACTAAATCTATCCTTAATCGAGTGTCGCCTCACTCGTAATTAAGTACGCGCTATCCGAGTCCTCACGCTCGCCTCGCGCCATTCCGAGGATCCGTCGACCGTTCTGCATTTAAAATCATCATTTTTAAATGCAGGAAGTCTGCGATCGCGGATCAAAAATCGCTACTGCTCTAGAGATCGCTCGGAAAAGATGCAAACCAGTGTGGAAAGTCATTTTTTTGATAACATGATCTCTACGCCCAATCAATCACTTTTGACAAGCGATTTCTACAAGCTACTTACATTGCGGAGAGTCACTCCTTGAGCCGCGGTCGATTAAAGTCACCTAGGTACAACGACCCCCCTCCCCCACCCCAGAGTGGCGAGTTGTTCGCAACTTCGGAGATCGCTTCAGGATTTCGTCGCTGTTTCGTCGGTAAACCGAATCGATCCGTCGTCACGAAAAAGAATGACCAATGGCCCAATCGCGCGAACGAGCGTGAGGAATCTGACTCGCCTTGCTTCGCGTCGTTTCACTTAAACCGCACTCGTCATCACTTCCACCCTCAAATTCTCGGCGTTTCTCGGCCACTGATATCCATCCTTTCTTTAACCTTCTTTACGCGCGAAAGCGCATCAACGACGCGACAGCTTGCACGTAGACTAGATGCTTGATGCCTTAATCTGACCTGAGATGACCCTATATCAACTAATCTTGTCGTCAGTTCGTATCACATACCGATCGCATGCACCGTCCTCGAAGTACATGCAGGAACATGAGAATTCTTTTTTTTTCCTTTTCAGAATTTTAACGTTTTAAAGAGATCGCCTAAAGTTTGCGAAGTGTATCATTTTTTTCATAATGTCGAAACTAGCACAATAATACCGATATTTTATGATCAGCAGAACCGAAATAACGAATACACTATTTCATTTCTTCTGCCTCACAGAAACGATATTATTATATTTGTTCTTGTTGTATAGATACATTTAATATTTGAAAATATTTTGCCAGATGGCAGGAAACGTGTGCATTAATTAAATCACGACAAAAAGCGTAAAAGCCAAAACGTGACACTCGAGCAATTATGCGCTCTTAAATTATCATTTGACGTCTACACATACCGTGAAATGTAAAAGCTGCATATATATATATATATATATATATATATATATATATATATATATATA